CCCTTTTTGTGACCTTTGTAAAACTCCGGTTTTTCAGCTGCACTATAGGTGAACAAAGTTCTAGGGTTTCACTGCCCACTGTGCAGAAAGTTGTACAGTTGAACCTCACTGAGTCCAGGTGTGCCTGGGGGTGTTGGTAGAGAGTGTGGAGAATCCATCTTTGGCTGAAGCCTGCAAGAGGATCTGAGTGCTGTACTTGCCCACCTTGGTAAAATCCTTTAGAAAGAAGGCGGCTTCCAGAATCATTCTGGATGATTAAGGCTCTTGAATTTCTTTGGTGGTCTTTGTACTGCCCCTAACGTCCTTAGGTTAGAGCAGTAGCATGTTTGTCAAGGTCAAGTGTGGCAGAGGAACTGTGGAGGCCTCAGGTGACTCTGGACAAGACATTCCCTTGCTGTGTCTGCTGGGGGGCTCACTGGGGCTGCAAGCCAGCTCTGGCTCAGTTGACCCCACCTTCCAGGTCGTGGAGGTCACCTTGTGAACTGATCTTCTCATTGTATGTATCAGTTTTCTTTTAAAAAAAAAAAAAATGCAAAAAGGCAGGTAGCTTCGGTAGCTGGTAGGTACTGTGTAGGGACTCAGAAATGTTTGTGGCCTGAAGGGTGTTTATGATCTCAATTTTTCCCATTCCAGAACACAGTGTAGAAGACAGTGCTCTGGTCAGCTTTTCCTTGTAGATTCCAGCCTGTTAGCTTTCCTGGCTGGCTCTGGGCCCTATCTGCCTCTCCTTGTGTTTGTTCCCCTGTGTTTGTCTGGGGCGTGGTCCTGGCCCGCCCACAGTATTCTCATGGGGACACTCAGTCCGTCTGTGCCAGTCACCACCTCCAGTGACTACACAGCAGGAAGTTTGTCGTGTGTGTCTCCGAAGTAACAGCTTCTCCCTGGTGAACAAAGCAGTTTCTCCAGTCAGGTGATGCTCTTAAAGTGGGTGAGGCCATCCTGCTGGTTTTGTGGCTCCTGACTAGCTGGAAGATGCCTCACTTGTCAGGAATGCCACCCTCCTGTTAAGAGGTTGCTGGGTGTTTCTCTTGAGGGGATTCCATAAAGGCTGGCAGGTTAGGAAGAAACAACAGAAGTGTACATTGTTACCTTTCCTGTCATTTGAAAGAACTTTGTGTCTCAAATTAAGTTTTTAGAGCTGCCCTTGAACTCTGTCTCTAGGGATCTGTGAGGCAGGGCCATTTGAGGTTTAAGTCAGACCCTTCCTCTTGGAACTGGGCATAAGTTTAATAGAAAAGCTCCTGTCAAGGGACTTCTTGGTATTTGGGGCACAATCTCGGGGTGGACAAAGGAGTGATGTGAATGAAAGGACCATGGAGGGTCCTTAGGAAGTTTCTCCTCACAAAACCCCTAGACTTTTTGGAGCTCTTGCCTAGTTGTTCTGGTCCTGAGGCCTCTCTGCTTTGGGTTTGTTGTGTTACTGTTTTGGGGGAAGGTCATGAAGATGGAGCCCAGAGCCTCATACGTGCTGGGCTGTTGTCCTGCCAGCAAGCTGTATTCTCTCCTTTTTAGACAGGGTCTTATAAATTGTCTAGGCTGGCTTTGAACTTACAAGCCTCCTGTCCCAGCTCTTTGTAGCTAGGATTGCAGGCATGCACCCCCAGCTTCATTACTCTTTGAGACTATCATTGTCTGTTTTTGTGTCCCTTGTTAACTGAGATGAATTGGATTTTTATGCTCACACACAAAACTTGCTGTAGTCTTTCATGAGGAACTTTTTGAACTTTTGAAATTCATTTTTTTTCCCCTCTTATCATCCTTTGTACTTATGAAACTGTGTCTGTGGGTTTGGCTTGAACACCAGATTCTTTTCCTATCTGCTGTCCTCCCTGATCATTTTCTCACCCCTACCCCACCCACAGCATGTTGTTGGCAGTGTCTGTCATGTTTGGAGAACACTTTTACTTTTTTTTGGTGGAACTGGCGGTTGAACTCTCAGGCCCTTGCACTTGCCAGGCAAGCGCTTATTCCACTGAGCCATCTCTCCAGCCTCACACTTTTACTTTTTAAAGTATTGGCCATTGGGGTGACTGGGAGAGGTGACAAAGGAAAACAGGAGGCACAAGGGCATGGAGGTGAATCAAGTTAGAAAACAAAAGGGAAAAAGTGTATCAGCCATCAAGCGAGAGCGTTAGAAGGAGCTTGGCCTTGGCCTAGAAGAGTTCCCCTCCTCTAGTTGCCTACTGTCCCTGTCCATCTGTGTCCCTGTCCCTTGCTCAGCGATGGAACTTTTGGGTAGAGCAGACCCAGAGGTCCAGGGCTGAGATTGTTTCATTAGTGGTTGTTAGGGTCCACTGTGGAGTTCTTTGGTATCCTGTGCCTATCTGAGGAATGTGGGAAACTATGGGTCACCCCTGTGCAGACCCAGGGCTTTCCCATCACTGTCCACAGCCACCATCTCTCCCCTCACTGAGCACCTCCAGGGGCTGTAACCTCCAGCTGCCAGGTCACTGTGCTGCAGGAGGGGTGCCAGGCCTGGTTCACTTGGCCAGGCACTTCTGTGGTCAAGTGGATTTCAGAAATAGTGCAGAGTGAGTTGAATGACTGCTGGACGGTGAGGTTCTGTGAGGTGTCTGGCCAGCCCCAAGTAGGGCTCACCTTTCCTCCACTCGTACGACCATAGAACCTGCTACCATCTTCTAAGAACGCTGGTCCAAGGGACATTCAGGGAAATCCTACCTTGGGTTTGTCCACAACCTTGCTGGTGATGTCCTTGTGATGTGTGTGTGTGTGTGTGTGTGTGTGTGTGTGTGTGTGTGTGTTATGGTTCTTAGGACTTGCGCTCATGGCCTTTTTGTATGCTAGGCAAATGCTGTGTCACAGCTAAGCTCCAGCCCCTGCCTGCTAGCTGTGGTACCTTTACATACTGATTTTTCTTCTTCCACTCCACCAGCCCATTACACTCATAGGCACAGTGCTTTTGGGGTAGGATGAGGGGTGGTCCTCATGGCTTCCCACAGCCCGTTCCAAAGATCATAGCTCTTGCCTCCATTCCTGTGGGCTTCCCCACCCCTGAGCCCTTGGGTTCTGCTGTTGACGCCACCTGCTTCACGCTGATTTTGGGGTTGCTTTTAGGGAAGATGGTGAGTTGGAAGAAGGTGAACTGGAAGATGATGGGGTGGAGGAGACCCAAGACACCCCAGGAGGACAAGAGAGAAGCCGGAAAGAAAAGGGAGAGAAACATCATAGTGACTCAGATGAAGAGAAGTCTCACAGGAGGCTGAAACGAAAACGGAAGAAAGAGCGGGAGAAGGAGAAGAGGAGGTCAAAGAAGAGGAGGAAATCCAAGCACAAAGTAGGTCCAGGAAGGTTGGCGTTGCTGCCCTGCTGGCATGGGGCCTGCCCTATTCTCCCGGAGGGCACTCTTCGTTATGTCTTACCTGCCCCTGTGTGGGTAAAGACTTTCTTAATGAGCTGAAAGCTTATGCTCCACTGCCAGCGAGTGCCCCCAGGTGAGGCAATTCAGGTGGAGCACAGTGGCCTTGGGCAGAGTCCAGCATTGCTGGTCCTGGGGCTGACTGCTGGGTGGCCACCTGCAGCAGCCACTGACCCACCTTCCCTGTCGCTGCAGCGCCATGCTTCTTCCAGCGATGATTTCTCGGACTTCTCAGACGAGTCGGATTTCAGCCCCAACGAAAAGGGGCACCGCAAGTACCGGGAGTACAGTCCCCCATATGCTCCGGTGAGTGATGGCTTGGGATACTGTTGACCCTGACCAGGGCCCAGGAGTACTACAGGGCCTATGCTTACCAAGTTCTTTCCACATTTGAGCTTTCTTGCATGAGCTTTACATGGATTTTAACCATACAATATAGGTGTTCTTTTCATCCCTGTTTTTTTAGGTGAGGAAACTGGCAGAAGGATTTTTTTTTTTGAGCTGGCTCAGAATGCCTTCAGGGCACGTTTGGCTGGCGTTGTTGGGATCGAACCACAGCAACCTGAAGCTGACTGCTTTGTTGAATCAGCCACTTAACTGAGCTAAGGGGCAGGCCCCGAGGAAACTGGGACTTAGGAAATCTTTATAGTCACCAGCTCTAAAGTGGAGGAGCTAGGATTTGAGCCCAGTGAAAGATCTTGGAAGCTTGTTCTTGAGCCTTCTCTGGGCTTTGTCTACCCTGAAGCCTTGGCACAGGACTCAGTATGTCTCACTGGTCCAGGTCACAGCTGAATGCTTTCTGCTGTTCATAGATGGCTTTTGTGGCAAAAGA